TTGGATTCCAAATTTGGTGTCCGTTAAGGAAAAGAATAGCCCTTTATATGTTATATATATTTTAATAAAGAATAATAGGAGTGTGAGAATTGTAATATATCTGTGGGCACAAATTGCGGCTCTAGAGGCGCTTATTAAAGAAATAACATCCACGAGGGAACTGTATTATCGACTATCTTCTTTACAAGAAACTTCATGCATGTATTTTAGGAAAAATACCAGGTTTGGAGATATTCAGTATTTCTGACTCCATAACTAAAGATAACATCTGCTTCAGTTGAAATCAGGTAGGTATTAAATAGCAAAAACAAAACTAATTTAAATATGAATGTGTTTTTAATCGAAACTTTTTTAGAACCTTCTTTTATTTCTACTTAAACGAAAGATTTACAAATATTATTAGAATTAATTTCCACGACAAAATACAAGACCTTTAGAGATGACACCCGCCATTAATATCTGGACATCCCTTTCGTTGATGGATTCAGCCTGTTTTCGCCACATTCTGCAGAACTGCGTTTTTCGTGAAGCCGTGCATTTTGTTTCTTTTTCTAATTTTGATGTCATATGGGCCCAATAACACTCGATCGTTTGCAGCTCTGGGCAATTCGGAGGATCGGCCTCTTTTAGTACAATGTTGATTCCATTTTGTGTATAAAACTCTTGCGCTTTTTTGCACAATGGCTTTTTGCCAGATCAGGCCAAAACAATACAGGCTCTCAGAACAATACTCCATGTGCAACAACACGTTCAGAAATATTCGGATTGCTTTTCAAAGTCCTTAGAACATCCTTCTCCACCATTTTATTTATACAGCCTGATTTTCCGCCAGATTCCGCCTTTCTCTCAATGCTGCCATTTTTCTTAAAATTTGACAGTACATTTTGAACCGTCGACCTTCCAGTTTTCAGCAATTTTACCAACCGACATTAGGAGATGTGTGGATTTTGCATGAATTCGTCAAGAATCAATTTTCTTTGCTGAAGTTCTTTGCTCTCCACATCACTTATTTTTTTAATTTACGAATATGAAAATTAATTGTAATAAATAAAAACAAAAGCAAAACCAGCACACTAAATAAACGGCTGATCGAATAGTCGATAGCAAAGTTGTGCTATGTAGAGTGCTGCCATATTTCAAATGAAACAGTTCTTATTTGCTTTTTACCATCCGCTATATTAGCCTAATATTATTAGGTATTCGGTATTAATGATTTTTTTCAGTGTCAGTAACACCAATGTCATAGATATAACATATGAATTTTTGGTACCCATTGGAGACGGTTAAGGCGTGACGCATAGGGGGAAAAGTACAAATTACTCTATGAAGACTAAAAAAATTAAAATTAATTGTTTTTTTTTTATATAATACCCAAAATCGATACTACCATAATCGAAGATTTCCCATATAAATTTTAGTCCCTATTGGACTCGATTAAGGCGTGTCGCAAAGGGGTCAAAGGCCAGATGCCTCTAGGGACTCAAAAAATGTAATTTTTTTTTCATTTAATGCCTAAAATCAATACCACTAAAGTCGAGGACATCACATATAAATTTTAGTCCCGATTGAAGTCGGCTAAGACGTCGTCATAGGGTAATCTGAACTTTGACCCCTGTGCGACACGCTGTAACCCACTTCAATCGGGACCAAAATTTATATGTGATATGTTCGACTATAGTAGCATCGACGTAGGGATTGAGGCTCAGAAAATCTGACATAAAAGTTTTCTTCCTACATTTAAGGACCACCCTAATGTAGGTAGGTATGGACATGTGTAAGCCCAAGTTCTGCTACGACTTCGTTGTGAATTCTTCTCCACGGGTAGCCAACACTTTCTTCTTCACAAATGTACCTATGTATGTCTTTCTTCTGTGAGTTTCCCATGTTTATTATTTTACTACATAGCACCTACTTCCATGCCATGTTTTATCGCTTATTCATGTTACATTTATTTGCATTTTCCTTTTACTCTCTAAACTCGTTTTTGTTTTCTTCATACATAAATAAATATAAGCACACAATTTTGCCGCATTTCTTTCAACACACTTTTACTGTTTTTTTTTACTCCTTGTTAGTCTGCCCATATTTTTCCCTCGCTTTGCACAAGAACCTGTCTGCCACTATTTTGTAGATCTTCATCTGCCTCCGCACCCCCTCCTCGGAGCAATACATCGCTTTAGCTGCACACACACACACAGGTATATATGACACACTTTTTTCTTTTCTTCATCAGCGGCCGTGTCATATCTTTTGCCACTCGATCGCTGAACGGCTTAGCTGATCCAGCTGCTCGCTTTGATTTATCATCCCTCCACGAACTCACTAGAGTTGGCAACAGTGTTGCCGTTGTGCGCCTAAAGGCTCAATTTGACTATTTTTAGGCGCCAATACCCTTTGACCAGACTTTCTTAAAATTTTGTTTTGTCCCGCTATTTTCTTCTTAACCGCAAACGTTCTAGCAGCGAAAGGGCTATATAATACATGCAAATTCGAATTTGACTTGGGATCTCAGATTTATTTATAATATGGTAACCCGTTGTTTTTTCGTCAAGTACCCCTTTTTTGCGACTTTCTGAAAAATTCTCAACGGCAACACTGGTTGTGAAGATGCGACCGATCGCAAATGAGCTTACCACACACTCAGCTCTTCAAGGATGGTGGCGGTGGCTTTTTTCTTGATGTTCTCTTCAGCCGCATCGTCAGCATCATGGAGAATTTTTACGGCTTTTGTTCACGTACATCCATATGTACATACTCAGGTATTTGGCGTAGTCACAGACAGCTTTTTTTTTAATTTATCTCCTCTAAATGCCAGTAATCAACTCTCAAGAAAAGCAACAGAAATGTATGCCCGTTCCATTATTTCTAGAGGAAAGAGTGAGGCAACAGGCTATGAAATAGCAGATGTCAAAATTCTTTGGTCACACACACGAAATAATGACAATTTTTTTCTTTACTTTTGAGAGCTGCATGCTGGCCTTAAGTAAGATAACCAAAGTTTAGTTGAGCGGCTTTTTTCCCCCAGTTCGCCATTTCAGCCACAACTTGTATGTAGGTACGTTACTTTCAACTCCGATTTGCCCTCATTCACCCGTTGCACTCGCTCGTCGGAAGCGGAAGGCCGTTTATTGTTTGTTTACTTATTTACTTGTTTTGTTTTCGTCTCAACGATTTATTTTCATTTTTTAACCACATGCTTTTCTACAATTTTTCACACTACCGGCTTTTTGACCATTACTTGCTTATGCACTTACACGCTTATGTACATCTAAATATATACATAGATATGCGCATACCTGTTTCTTCATGTTCGCTCATTGATTTGACAGAGATAACAAACATTTTCTTGGTATTGAGGTTAAGTACGGGTGTATACATGTGCGTACAAATATTCAAGTCGCTATAGATAAAATGGACTATTTTATTGATAGTTCGTTGAGCATGATTTTTAGAAACTTCCAAGCCGTTGTCTTAATAATAAAGTATATTTTTTTTAAGTATCTTCTCGGTATTTTATAGACATAGTCTCTAAGATGAAAGTCATTACTAAAACATTTAAATTTGCATGTAAAATCCCATCTTAAACTAGAGCAGTCTTGAAGACATCCAATAATAAACTCAAGATGTCAGTCGGGAAAAATGGAGTCGCAGTGACATCACCCGATTACATATGACAGGGTACGAGTATCAATTTCGCGGCTGCAAAACAGCAAAGCTGTTGGAGCTCATGCCCTGCCAGCCGAGATATTCAACTCTTATGCAAAATATGGTCAGAGGAAAGTATGCCTGGCGATTGGAATTAAATCCAAAGGAAAGGCGACCCTGCAATTAGCGGCAACTATCGCGGGAACAGCCTTCTAAGCATAAGTTACAAGGTTATATTGAGCGCATTGTGTGAAAGACTGAAACCCAACGTCAACAAGCTGATTGGGCCTTATCAGTGTGGTTTTAGACCTTGCCAATCCACCATCTGCCAGATACTCACTATACGCCAAATCATGGAAAAGACGCGATAAACTCTTCATCCAGTTATGGACTCCAAAGCTGCTTTTGACAGCACGAAAAGGAGTTGACTATACGATGCGATGTTTGAATTTAGTATCCCAGCGAAATTAATGGGACTGCTTATAATAACTTTGAGCAATATTACTAGGTCCCTCAGAACTTAGAAGAATTTCTCCAAGTCGTATTAAACAATGAAGGAAGTTTCCAAGGCGCATTATCTCACGAAGAAACGACTCAAATAGTTGCAGAGATCTTGCAAATTGGCACCATTAGACTTCTTTCTCTTGCGCTACGTGAAAAGTGTGGTATATGTCGACCAGCCCGAGATGATTAATAAGGAAATCATAAGCATTATAAATGGGATCCTGTGTTGCCAGAGGATGGATATAAACGGATGATATGTGTAATACTTAAATGTCATAGACTAAACACATTACGAAAAGAGAATCTCCGGTCTTATTGAATCACCCTATATATAATAGCTATATGTCAAACGCAACGTACATACATGCAAATAAAGTTACCTAAATAGTTTTTTACTCAACCGATTCATTTGATAAACCAAGGGCCGTTTTCTCAAGTAACCTTTAACATTAAAGCTCACTTTATATTTAAAGTTTTCATTAAAATTTATGGTTGTATCTAAAGTAAAGTTATCGGTTTTAAATTGGCTTACAACCAAGAAACATACATAGGTCAAAAACCTTATTTTAGACATAGTTACATATGTATATATTTCAAAGCAACCTTTAAATATAAAGTGAACTTTAAATAAACGGTTACTAGAGAAAATGGCACCTAGTAGATATTTAATTGCAGATAACAATTTGAAAGATAATCTTTTCTCAAACTCACACACCGATTATCCAACCAAGTAGTATGTTTGTACGATGAACACTTCCATTTCAAAATTTTTCTCTCTAAATCTCAACTATCGCTAAATCCACTTAAGACACATTAACTCGTTCTGAAACGACAACAGGTAGAATACTTACATCAAATATACCTTCGACGTTGTCACTCCGTCGAGATGATCTCTGCAATCGTTGGGTACTTTTTTTTTATTTTGTTGCTGAAACAATGACGTCAATTTTATTTTTTTTTTTTTTTGTATTACTAAGCAGTTTCGGCCGCTGGCCGGAATTTTAATGAATGCAAGTATGTAGGTATTTATTTTAGTTCTGCGCTCTCACTCACGCTGTGCTGTGCTTGCTCTCTAATAACATAAATTTTCACTCTGCTACACTTTTCACTTCACTTTTATCTCACTGCATGCAGCTGAACACACTTTGCTGGTATTTTTATTTACCTTTTTTGTTATGTCACTTAACACTGTTACTTTTCAATTTTCGCTGTTTGTCTTCTTATCACTTTTGAATGGTCGAACAGAACCAAAACACATGTGACACTATGGCTTGTACAATGAAAATTAATTTTCAGCGCCAAATTAACAAATTACTATCGTTAGCTTGGTTGTCTCGTTGGTTGTATTTTCGAAGATTTTCCAAAAATGTTTAACCGAAGGAGCTTTAGCTGCTAGTTTATTTCTGATTATTAGTTTCTGCGCCGCGTTTGCACTTTGAGCTGGTTTTTCCTTTTTCGCGAATAAATTAATTATTTTGCATTCATTTTTTTTTAATTTCTTCTTCTCAAAGTTATCTAGATATATGCCTCCTACAAAAACACAACACATTTTCGTCATCCAACGTTGGCGAAAGGAAAGAAAGAGAACAGAAATTGAACCCCTTTGTTTAAAGCGGGTAAGTAATTAAGTAGTTACATACATCGTATATCTTGGAGGTATTACGCGCTAGCAATTCTCTTTTATTATTAACTTTTTTGTTATCTATTCCTAAGATCACAGCTGTTCAGCAGTGATCTTAAAGCTTAAACAGACGGCAGCGTTAATCCGGATTAACTCGGTCTAAATCCGGATCAACTGCAGTTAATTCCCGAGTTGATCCGGAACCACGCTGCCGTCTGTTGATGCTTTAAGACCACTAGCGCAGCGCAGATTTAATACATCTTCGCGATGCGACGCTGACAATGAAACGACACTTTAGCCACAGACACACAACAACACAAAAAAACACGTCAACGAGAAGAAAGTAAAAGATATGTTGAAATAAAAAAGAAAAACTCGTTTCGTTCGCTGCTTCTTTGCCTAACTAAATACGCGACCGACTGAATAACTATTAAATAGCGTACTGGACTGAGAAGTGGCGGACAAACGACTGACCGCGCGCACAGCACTTGGACTGCCTACTTGAACGCCTGCCTGCCTGCGCGCTTTCTTGCTTGCGTGACTGCCTCCTGGGCTAACTCGCTGGCTGACTTGCTGACTGGCGGCTGACTATAGCGTATCTCTCGACACGGCAGCGAGGCAGAGTACTACCAGCTCATATATAGAGTATTACATGCTTATTTTAAGTGGAAAGGAAGCAACACAGTCAGATCCAGAAAGGCAAACCGGCCGCGACTGCGATCGATGCTGAGTTGAATTGAGTTACTTTATGTTTAGTGGATCAGCAACGGGCGCGGCTGACAAGAAGTGGGTAATGGATTATTGAAGTTATGCGAAACAAAGTGGAGCTCGGCGTAAAATGTATTATGTGCATATGTGAACCGGCTATTGGAAGTCACATCGGATCACTAAGATGAAATTTGTAAAACGCTTACTGTGTGCATGATGCGAATATACAACAATGTACATATATGAATGGTTGTGTGATAATTACAGAGCGCTTGCGATAAAAAAAAATCGAACAATCAAAGCAAGCAGACGTCACGTCATTACATTAATTTTGCATCGATTTGTAACGAAAATCGAATTTCGCGGCCTGGCAAACCACAAAAGCGGGAAGCCGAGATGCGCTACGAAACCGCAGAAACGATGTGCTTTCGAAATGTGGCTAAACGCAGAAATTGTGCACACCAACTTATTTGCTGAGCCTTTGGACCTCACGCCTATTTGGAAGTTTAAAAAAAAAACACATAAAATTAGCGGACAAAAATCGAAAGCAATACTATCTAAATATTTCTTCAAGCTCCTACATACAAATGTAGGTACATATATACAATGTTTACAACCGATTCATCTCACATCACAGCTGGTCTAAAAGCCTCCCTCCTTTTCCTCTTTCCACCAAATCACAACGTAAATGGCACTCGCTTTCGCCAGCCAAAAAACGGCAAACGCTCACCGAAAAGCGCAGTTACCCACGGACGTAAAACCGAAGAACGTGTCAGCTGACACGATCTATCTTATGGGATCTGCGTGCGAACAAAAATTCAGCACCGCATGACCTTTCCATCAACAGCACACTTGATATCTTTCTACGTACTGCTACGCTACGCTACGTATACGTTCGTGGGTAACCGCGCTCGAACATGCACAAACACTCCCACGTTGCGATCGTAGCTGGTGAGAAGTAGCCATCGCGTACATGCATACATACTAAATTTAATTTGCGAAGCATTTTCTAAAAATATCTTTTATTCTAAATTTTTGTGATTAGGTGATCGTGATGAACGCGCAATTTGCCTTGGAGTAGGTGAATTTGTTGCGTGGCAGCGCAAAAATCTCCGACTTACATACATACATACATATGCACACCTATACACACAGTTAGATAGGCATAAATATCATATACATATGTATGTATGTAGCAAGAATGTTGCTATTCGTTCGCTTATTTTTTTTTCATTTAAGCATAAATAAAAATAATTTCTGTTACAAAAAAAGTGTTTTCATTCCGCCCGCCAGTTGGATGCTTCTCCACCAGCTTCATTACTTTTTTTCAAATTTTTTTTTTGTTGTGTTTTTCACCGATATTTTTTATTGTGAGCTTTTGCGCTTCTCGTCTTTCGCGCATATTTTAGACTTTTATGATTTTTTACCCACACGAGCAGGCACACATTCGCACCAAGAATGATAGAGAAGAAGATTGCGCCCTCAACGTTCCGCTATCTTTTTTTTGGTTTGAGTTTGACAGCCAGCTGCTTTAACGTGACGTCATAAGCGAAACGAAAATTTACCACCAAGAGCAACAAACTAACAATGAAGTGAAAAAAGCTGATTTTTACAAAGTTAGTGTTCGGTGACAAGTTCCAATAACGATATTTCAGACAAATCGTTGATGAACAACTATTTTTCATTTCCGTTTGCTGTGGCTTTGGCATTATTTGCAAGAACTATTCACTAAAATTGTAACTAAGGTTTTAATATCTATTAATTCTTTCCGATAATCAGCAATGTATGTGTGCAATAAAATTTTTAACAGAAAACACAAAATCACTTCGATTTTATTTAGATATTTATCTACTTTTTTTTATCCACAGCTTTTCCAATTAGGCAACTTTTGATAGCTTTTGGTCACATATTTGCCTGGCACATTTACTTAACTTTTTCTTCTAGCATTTCTCATAACAAACTAATACATAGTGTTTATTTTACAATATTACGTGAATGTTCGCAATTTTGTTTATCATTTGTATAGGATTTTGCCACTTCTTCTTTGTCTATTATTCGTACTGTTTCGTTCATAACGTCACAGCAAGGCTGAGGGCGCAATCTTCGTTTCTATCATTCTTGCATTCACACACTAATATTACATTAGTGTTCTTCTGCGTTTCGTCTCTTTCTTTCGTTCTTTCGTTTTACATTTTCCATTACGCGTTTATGTACATTTTTTTTTATCGTTAGTTTTTTCGACCTACGTTTGAGAACGTAAATTCTTCCTGGTTTTGTTTTTTCATTTTGCATTATATTAAATATTTTTGTTTATTAGACCTCCGCAAGGGCCATCATGATCATCAGCCAGTCACTGTTGCTGTTGTTGAAATCACTTTCGTCGTCGCACTCGTTAGCTTCGTTTGACGTTTATGATTAAAAGTAGCGAATAATAAACGGCGAAATAAAAATAAATAGGTATCACTCACAAATTGCTAACGCAGCGAACGACCTCGTGGCTTCTTACCGAAGAAACTCTAGTACAGGCCCTACTTGCTTTCTAGTTGGATGCGAACAGACAACTGACGATGTACAGCGGATCCCAAAAGCGCCACAGCCCGTATCGACAGCAAAAGTAAGAGCAACCACTAAAGCTACACATATACAAACGTGAGGCGGCAGCAGCGCCAACAACGCAACGCTTACACATCGACCATGTGGATGTCGAGGTGTCGTCGTTTAGTCGTTTAGTCGTTTTGTATCAACGTCGTAGTATTTGTCGTACATAAGTCTCGTCTCGTCTCGTCTCGTCGGCTAACAGCGCCATATGGGGCGAAATAGCTGTACGTTTTAGCAATTCAGGCTCCACCAGCTTCGTAGCGATAACTGATTGTGTCGGTGGTTGCAAAACCGAGTGCGGCAGCAGCAAGAACAACAAACAGCGCAAAAATCGCTATAACCAACAGCACGTCAATGGCAACGGTTACGGCTACGGTGGCGACGTGTCCAATAACGATGACGTCGCCAGCAACGTCTGCGCCAACGTTGATAGCGTCGCGCGACCCCAACAGTCACACACGTACAGCCAGCCCCATACTCAATGTGCCCAATCAGCCGATTTGGCGGTGGCGTGCTGGAGCAGCGTTACGTTGTCATACATTCCAAAAGCATTCATTCTCAAATTCGCTGGCCGTGGGCGCAATGCTGGACAGTGCTGTTTAGTGGGCGCTAAAGTTTGTTGTGTTCATTTCTCTTTCGCGCAATTGAGTTCGCGCTCATACTCTCAATTATGGTTTGGCGGTGGGCGCTATCCGCGCGCGCTCGTTTTGTACTTATCAAGCACAGTGGCTCACAAGTGCACAAAATTACCAGACTCTACATACTTACTAACTAGTAAAAAGTGGGGCACATTCAGCTTTTAGGGCTTTTGTCATCGAAAGTTCAGTAAAGTTGTGAAATATCGTGAAACCACGTTCTGTGGGGGGGAGTGGCATTTTTGTTCGCCGTTAGCCTGAAACTTTGTTTGGATTCAAACGTATCGGAGAGGTCCTTCCCAATCCTGATAGAGCTTGGTGTAGCTTAGCGTTACGCGGGAATACCAAATTCAGATAACGCGGCATATAAGTAACTCCGTTTCATGATGTGAAGAACGGTCTATGGTGTATTGACCAGGTCTAAAGGTCCAATCAGTTCGTTGACGGTGGGTTTCAGCCTTTCATACGATGTTTATGTAACTGGTTCCATGGTATTTTGTCAGACTTCTCGCCGCAGCACTTGAATAGCTCAGCTGGCAAGCTATTCGCGAAATTGCTATAATTTCCTCATCATGACCGGGTGATACGACATCGACTCGGCGGACTTTGAATGGAGACTCGGATTTATCTCCTCCGTTTATTTAATTTAATAATGTAAGCGCGCAGGACATCTCTGGCTAGGTTGCCTTTGTTTTTCTAACAGTAGTTTGCGCTCGTCCTGAAGCCTTCAGTACGTCGCCTAAATTTGTGATAAAATGTTTTCCAGTTCTTCCTTTCGGGCTGCTATTTAAACGCTTCGCACTCACTAATCTTGACCGCTCTCGTTTTATAACGAAAAATACAGTCCGCTTTCTGCTTTAGTTCCTTATATTGATCCCACATAACTCACGTTGGGCCCGATCGAAGCGTTGTACTATAGACGTAGAGTATTATATTTGCAGCGACTTTACACTGCCTGTCGTACTAATTGATCTTTCAGGCTCTCCGAAATTTCTTCGCATTGTTGGATGCAAATTTTTGCTGCACTGAGGCGTATACGTATCTTGGCTGTGGCAGGGGGTAAATCCAGTGAGACTTCTGGATAGGATAGCAGTTCGTAGCATTAGTTATGGATTGGGGTTGTTTGCATTCACTGACTCTCAAACAAAATGACGAGACATAAAATTGCATTGCTGTGAAATGAAGTGTCGAATTGAAGTTTTGGCAGAGAACTTGTACGGAGAAAGATTAAAAGACACGGCTGTGTCTTTCGAGTGAACTATTAAAAAGGGCAGCATTAACTAAAATATTCCAACGCGATAAGCGAATACAAGACATTTATACAGAAGTAATAACATTGAAGCGGGTTGCCAGGTACCTTAAAATTTTATTTAAATCTATGTATGTAAGTATATTTATTGGGGCGGAGTAATTAAATTTCGAAAAAGGTTTATGAAATATTCGAATTCTACGTTCGATTCGAAGCAAAAATGGTAAAGAAACTATACACCTAAAATTACGTTTGACCCTCAGTTTTAAAAAGAAAAATCAGTGTATTATATTTTTTTCTGAACGAAATTTCTTTTTCATTTAATCAATTTTGTATTTTCTTCATATTTAAGAAACTAGTTCCCAAAACCGAGAAAATAGAGAATTATATATAATATTTTTTGTAGAATGAAAAATAAATTTCGACCAAAAAAGTTACAATGTACCGCTTTTTCTTTTGAAAATTGGGAGGGTAAAACGTAATTTTTGGTATATAGTTTGTTTGTAATTTTTGCTTAAAATCAATCGTAGAACTTTAATTTGCACTTTCTTCGAAAATTTTGCTCCGAAAAAATTACTCCGCCCTAACATACTACATATATATGCATGTATAAAAACGTGTGTAATTTCGATAACTTGCTTTTGTATTGTTAAGAATGACAAGGGGAATGGTCGGAGATTGCACTTTGGTACTTAAGAGGTACTTTCGTGCAGAGAGTATACAGTGACTCAAACAAGTGTTCCCGTGTTATTTATTAAAAAAATTGTATGTGAAAAATTTTCAAAGAGAGAAATAATTTTTTAAATACTTCTTTTCATAGGGAATTTTGATGTGTGTATGTGTGATTTTTTCAAATTTTTTCCTCAAACCCATTCTCGAGGTAATTGGAAAACTATTAAATCGATTTGTTTTTGTTTTTGCGCTGTAAAGTTTTTAAAAATGTATTAATCAAGCTCAAATTTCATATTTATTTATTTATTAGGTTTATGTATCAACCCTAAAAATTTTAAACAAATCAAACACAAGGAGTTTGAATCCCGTCCGTTTTGGTATAGAACGCCCCATATATTATGTTATTATAAAATCAACGTGATTTGTCGTTCGCTTGAAACTTGCATATCATGAGACTAAAACTGCACACAAAAATGATTCTGATTAAAAATCTCGAAATTTTGATGAAAATTTGTTGAATTTTTCGAAACTTTTTATTAAGTTTGGAAAGTTTTTAACAGAAAAATAACAAAAAAAAAATTTACTTAAAAAACCTTATGAATATTAAAAAAAAAAATAACACTGTTTGAACACTTGTTTCAGTCACTGTATATAGGCTAAAATAAGTATGCAATTTCTGAGCTCAAAGGCATTTTTTTTAGTTGTTTCTAAATATATGTAGGTTTAAAGGTAGTGGTATATTTTATGTTTTAAGGAGTATAATTTCATTAAAACTTAAATAATTTTCTAAACTTACAACAAATTAATTACTTTTTTTCCAAACGACAACAAAATAAGTATGTCGTTGGAAAGCAATCACAAAACTCACCAATCGACAACCACTTGCTTTGATCATACCAAAAATCGCTGAAAATTTTTGCGATTTAAAACATAAATAAAAATAAAAACCTTAATTACGTGTGTGGTTTGTACTTGATTTAAAAAAAAAAAAAATGGTTGCATGCCTTTAGGCATTTTTTCAAATTTCCTCAACAGTGGGGTCTTAAATAAATCAAAAATTGTTTTTTTATTCATTTGGTTCTTGCCTTATGATAAATTACCTAATTTCTATCTAATTTATTGACAGATTTTACAAAGCGAAATTACTTGATTTCGGCATTATTTGCTTATAAATTACAAATGAGCCGTAAATTACGATAATGTGAACATGCTTTAAGGCTGTCCCATACAAAATTTATATGCTTTTAAATTTTTTAAGGACCACCCTAAGATTTGCAAAAAAAAGCTTCGCTCCAACCAAATGCATATTTGATCTTTCGAATTGTCAAGGCCAAATCACACGATTGTTGCATTTGTACAAAGTTGTAGACAACACCGCAAATCTGTACAAATGCACCAATCTTGTGATTTGGCCTTGAGACCTTTTTGTACAAAAATCTGTAGTTAACTGACGATTCTGAGTTAACTACGCACTGTGAAATTGGCTCTCTGCATTCGATTGGTCGGTAGCTCCTACAAAAACATATATATTTTAATAAACGCTTTTTGCTAAACTCACAGAATTTTAATTTTGCTTTCTATCGCATCATCGTTCTTTTTTTATTATTAAATATTTTTGTTTTCATTTTGTTTAAAATATTAACTTTTGTATTTTGTACTTTCTTTGAAAAAGGTTCCAACAGTTCTTCACAGGTACTTAGTAGAGCGAGCAGAATAAGTTTAGAATTTACGTGGATGCAAACATTTTTTATACAAATGTACATACATACATACATATGTAGAATTTAAATTTTAATGCGCAAATGTTCACGTTCCTCAAGCAATCAAATTAAATTTAAATTCATTTTATTTCTAGTTTTTCTTTCTTGTAGCAGCAGGCCGCCAAGCGAGCGACGCGATATTCGTTTAATTTGTCAACACACATACGTACTTACATACAATGTAAGTATGTATGTATGTGGCTTCATACATGGGCAATTCTCAGAAACTTGAAAATTTTTTGTGATTTTTTTTTTTTATCGCGAACACATGTCTGAAATTCGAAAATTACGAAAATTTTTAAAATATAGCATTTTTATGCCAATTGATAAATCGGTTACCGAGATACGCATACAGTGAACCAAACAAAGACTGGGAAGCGGCATTTTTATTAGTTTTGGTCATTTTTC